GCACCCAGCTCTACTGGCCAAAAAAAAAAAAAAAGAAATCATTGGTTTTCTCTACTTAGCCTTTGGGATTTTGCATCAGCCCAGACTGTCCTTACAGCTCTCCCAGCAAGAGGGATCTGCAGGCTGGCAGGTCACTCCCAGCTCATGACAAGCTGCCATCGAGGAGGTTGTTTTTCACCCGGGGCTACCAGCCTGGCCACATGCCCAAAGGGGCTCTAGTGCTGTCAGCTTGTCGTTGTACTGTGGTCCTCCCCAGCCTTGGGCTCTGCCTGCTTACCTAGTGTTTATTTCTTACTTTTAATAAAAGCTGCAATTCTGGGCAGGGGCAGAAATACTCCTAGCCAAGACCTTACGGGTCAGCAGCCACCACTTTGCTGCCAACATACATGACTTCTTGAAATAAGGTTTTATAAGAATCAGGCTTTTTTTTTTGCTGTAGCCTCACTGGGGTCTGGACTTTGCCATTAACACTCCTTCCCTGTGATGTAGAGAGCTGTGGATGTGTTTTCAAGCGCTGCCACTTAGCTGGGACCCAGCACAGAGCAGATCTAACTCGCTGTCCCTGTGCCCCTGGTGAGCCTCACACCACCTCTCTGCACACAGTGCTGACTTTTGGGAGGGTGCAAACTTTTGAGAGGGTGCAAACCAAACCCAAACCCACTGAATCCAGGGAGGACTCCTGCATTATTGAGGATTTGTCCTAAGGCTTCAAGTGCTGCAAGCTGCCAGCTTGCCCCCAGGTCTCCAGCCAGCACCAGCCTCACCCCTTCCTTGTGAGTGTTAGCTGAGTGTATGGATGCTGGTTGCACCCAGAAGGCAAAGGAAAAGCATTGGGAAAGTGTCTTTTATTGCAAAAGGAGCAAATCCAAGGCCTTCTCATTCCTCAAGCCAAGATGCACATGTTCGCCGGTGCGGGTGGCAGAAGGCAGACTGTGGTTTGCAGAGTAACAATGAAAAGGGCAGGAAAAACATTGTGTGGGGCAAAGGGGGTGGTGTGTGACAAGGCAGGCTCCTAAATGAGTTTCACACACTCCATTTCTGGCACTCCCACAGCCACAAACATCTACTCCATCCCTGTCATGGCCATTAGTGTCATGTGGAAAGGGGGACAGTGGGGACAGACAGGGACCAGACAGACCTTCTGGAGTGCCCAAAGGAAGCCAAGAGCCGGCTCCTGTTCTTTAGTGCCTGCAAATAGTTCTGAAGCGCGTGTCCGCTGAGAGCAGCGGGGAGCAGCAAACCCCCAGGAGTTGGTGTTGATGGGCTGCTTTTTGAGTGGATGTCAGCAGAAACAGGGGTGCAACAGCATGGTCCCCACCCCCAGGGGCAGATGCAACATTGAGGCTTGCTGGACATGGTCTTCTCCATGCCAGCCCTAAGGCACAGCTATTCCCTTTGTTGCCAGAACCCAAGGCCGATCCATGATCCAGCAGGTCATCTCCATATCTCCATCTCTTGCTACCACTGCAAACACGAGAGAGGGCTTGCTGCCAGCTCCTCCCTTTAAAATACGCATCTAAAGCTGCTGGCTGCAAGCTTTAAATAAACCAACAATTTCAACTCTGATTTCAGTGAAGTCTAGAGTGAAAAAAGCCCCAAACTGCCTGAAGCACCAACTGCCCATACTTAGTACAGACAGACAGAGTTAAACTTCTTTTTGTTTTCCAAAATTTTATATCAATCAAGGTGATTCATGTTACAGTTCTGTCTTTGTAACAACTAAGAATTAGAAAAGTGGTTAAAAAGAAACCCATCAGCATTACAGTCCAATGTAGGCCAGCACGTGCAAACATAAGCATCCAGAAAACCTGACACACAACAGTGCAAGCTTCAAAATTCAATCACATGGGCATCCCATTGACTAGTCACTCAGACTTGGTCTGCTGAATCCAGCTCCCAAACCGCTTCAAAGCTTTTCCTTGGCTAAGTTGATCTATGCCCTCCTTTGATCAGTGACCCATGGCGTAAATCAGAGAAATTTCCCGAGCAGCAGTTCCCAAGGGGTCTGTGGTCTGCGAGGTCCTAGAGGTCCTCGAGTCCTGCAGCACTACTGTCAAAAATAGTGGTTTTGGTAAAAAGTTGGATGTAAAGGGCACCTGGAAGCCTCTGAAATAGCTTGAGGCAGAACTGCTCAGCCTGTCCCCAACATGCAGGAAAGGCCCTTGCCATGGATCCACAGAGAGCCAGCCATATGGCCACACTCTTCAGCATCGGCCCTTACGTCCTCCCAGCAGCTTTACCTTTCTCCTACCTTGGAGCCCTGAATAGTCACAGCCACTTACGCCCTAACTATAGCATTTAGAAAAATAAGGGCACTCTATAATCTTGTGCATTTACTAATATAGTTAAATAAAATTTTAAACTTTGATAATAAAGTCCTTTCTTGTTTTTTTTTGGGGGGGGGCAGGGAGGAATGAGGTGTTTCAAATAGAGAACTTCCTCCATGACCTTTCTGACAGTGCCTCAAAACACTATGAGGAGATTGAAGGCACTCAACTGGCTGCTCTCATTACTTTAATAATAAAGAGATAACAACAGGAATGCTGTGTTTCTTTCCACATAGCCTCACCTCTTACTTCTGAGGGATGCAGAAAGAGAGACACAGCAGAAACAGAGGAGGAGAAGACCCAGAACATCTCCCGGTCACGCCAGAATCCTTCCTATTATGTCCTGTGCCAGGGATCCCACTTCTTCACCGGCAACTGAGCTGTGCAGCAACATCTCCACCCAATGACTTTCATGCCAAGAGAGGACAAGTATTTTACAAGCAAAGGTTGAAAGAGAAGAGACCTGGAGCCCCTCAAAGAATGGCTTTTATGCGTTTCTGGGACTGGAGAAGACCTTCCCGCACCCTGTCCTTGCAGGTTGTGGTCAGACATCTCCAGGAACTCCTCACCTTCACCTCCACCCTCCAGTCCAAGGGCCAAATCCCACCAGTGCCCTGATGACTGACACTGGGGCTCCAGGATTAGCTCCTTGCCAGAGGGTGTCTGTTACATGTGACACAACTATCATTTGCACTGGTGGCAGGGAACAGACCTGAGTCCTTCATAGTTAAAAGCCAAAAGAAGCCAGCTTTTGGACACACTTGTGCTCCAGCTGGGCAGGGACCTCTAATGCTCCCCTGCACCTTGTTTTAGGCCTGAAATGCCAAATTATGCAGGACAGATTCAGACCTTAAGGGATGCTCCAAAAAGTCCATCAAACCAAATTTCCTCACTTCCTTCCTAACTAAAGAAATATTTCAGACTTTGCCCCAAACACCTCAATTTCTATTCCTGGACCCCACCACAACCACCAGGTTTACTTCACCTCCTTTTCTGCCTCCTGCAAAGCCTGGAGATAGGCCTTAAGAAAAATCCTTGCTGGGAGCCAACCCCACCCAAAACATCTCCCTGTGTCTCCCAGGTGGCAGACTCCTGCCAGACCCACGTTCAGCCCAGACACAATCCCATTAGAAAACCTGCAGAGGCTGAGCTCTCCTTAGCTGGCCACCGCCTGGGCAAGGTGCCCCAAACCTTCCAAGCCAAAGCAGTTCGGTTCTGCAGAGGCTAATTAAAAATTCAGGGGCTGAAATGTGCTCCCAACCAGGGCACTGCCATGAATGTCCTGCCTTGGGGAAGAAGGCTGCCAGACTTCAATCCTGTTTGCTCTGTCTCAGAGTGGAGATGGCCCATGGCTTTCTGTAAATGCATCTGCCCATACAAAAAAAAAAAGGGAAAGCTGGGAAAGAGCATTTCTGCAGCTCTGTCCTGGGGTGCAGGGCCACGTTACCCCATGTCCTCTCCAGAAGCCTCTGGCAGTAATTCCACCTCCAGCATCAACAAAGCTGACAGATGAAGACCCCTTTGGGGGTGGCTGCTTCAGAAAAACCCTCAACAAAATCATCACCTCTAACTGAGACCTGAGAGAGAGATGAGTATTAGCTTAATTTCATCATAGATAAGAACGTTTCTGCAGGTGCAGTGAGAGCACCCACTGGCACGGACCCATCAGTGCAAAAGGTGGTGTTTTCCACCCACTGGCAAGGTGGCTAGCAGCAAATGTCACCATCAATCCAAGACACGTGCTGCTGGCGGGAACCAGCTGTTCCCAGGAAAGCACTGCATGTTCTTGTTGAGAACGGCTTTGCTTCAGGCAGTCCTTCTGCCAGCAACAACCCTGAAAGCTCATCTGTCCTTAAAAAGCGAAAGGGATGATATCTGCAGGATAATCATGTAACACAGACAGGTGATAAATGCTTTAAAAGTCTAATGGGGCATGCTGGTATGGTCAGTGCAGCTCTAGGGAAGGCAATGCTGTCACCTGAGGCAAAACACACAGGCAAGCACCTCGAAGTGGATATAAAATGGGTGAGGAGGTGGGATGCAGCTGCCCCAGCAAGTAATATGCAGTCTGTACAGTTAAAACACCCAGACATGACTCGAGTTACCTGGCTCGCCTGGCACCTGGGAAAGCAGGAGCACGGGGCTACTGTGAGTCCAGTGCCACACCAGACTGGGGGGAAATAAACATACATGTCTATACATGGATCTCTGGTTTGTTTTCTGCTCTTAAAAAAGTCCTTTTAAATATATTTGCCATATTACAAAAATTACGGCAGGCTGTGGTGCAGCTGCACTCCCATTCACATGGCTCCATGGCTGGTGCTGGGTGCTCCCATGAGATCAGAGATGCTCCCACTGGCACAGATCAACCTTCACCTCTGGAAATCCTTGGGAACTGAACAGGTATTGGGTTTACTATGCATCTGCAGTCACTGACAACTCCTTCCAGATCTATACAGAGGAAATTCTGCCTACCAAAACCCAACTGCAGTATTCCCACCTGCCCCAATTAAAAAAAAAAAATCACACCCCCCAAATAAAAACAAAAATACCCCAAGGAGAGAGAAATCCCTTACTTATCCCCAGTTTCAAATGAAATGTGCAATTAGAATTATTATTTGTCATGAAGTCCTAAGTAAGGCATTGTTATCCCAAAGCTGATGGAGGAAGCTGTTAGGAAACCCAGAGGAAATAGGCGACTTCATCCAGGTCAACAGGATAGTCTGTGAGCAGCACCGGCGTCTTCTCAAACAACTCCCCCTTGTAGCTGCGCCACTTGCCCGCGGGCAGGTAGACGTCACGCTCCTGCTTGCCCATCTCCAGGACAGGTGCCACCATGAGGGTGTCCCCAATGAGGAACTGGGAGTCGATCCTGTGAGCGGCCTCGTCACGGGGTGAAATCCACCAGATGGGTCGGATGATGGGGTCGCCCGTGTCAGTGACCTCCCCCGCCAGCCCCACCAGCGACTGGTGGAGCTCCGTGAACTTCTGCGCAAGCTCCACCACCTCCTTGTCATAGAGCCAGGGTGGGATGGAGAACTGCATGGAGGGCATGAAGGCCGACAGCTCCAGCCACCGCACATACAGCTCCCGGTCAGGGATCTCCACTGCCCCATCTGTCTTGTTGGGGAAGAAATTCCCCCCAATCATGTCAGCCGATATGAAGGGGTACCCAAGCATGCTGATGGTGAGGACTGTGGGGATGAGGGATTTGAGGCCAAGCTCATAGCCCCAGATGGAGTCACGGTCAATGATACGGAAGAAGCAGGAGATGTTCTGGGACTGGTAGGCCC